ACCCTTATTTCAGTTTTAAGCAGCCGTATTTTTTCTGGATAAGAGCTTTTGACAAACCCCCCAAATGGTGTCTGAGCAACAAGAAAGAGCCTTGAGATTTCCTTCCCTCCACCCTGATTAGAAATGGGATCCATGCCCCAGCTGGATATTTCCAGTTCATGCCCAGTAGAAATAATTTTCTGTCCTATTGCCAAACGTGTCCCATGTGGCCAGCAAAGGTTGGACAATAGCAGCAATACAGCTTCCAGAAAGGAGCTGAAAACGATCCCCTGCAACCGGAGGCCTCGATTCTGCATAGCTTCATAATTCCAGCACCAAGATTCCGCTTCCTTTTTTCCCCTTTCAAGTATTCAGTTCGAATCCATCCTATTGCCAGTGCTTATGGCTCCCACCTTGTCTGAGGGGACATGTCCGAGTGGCACCCTGGAATGTTGATGCCAAAATCTTCCACTTCACCAGTAATCCTCAGGCACACCAGTGACCCCACTGAACATCAAAATAGGATGGCGGTGCCGGGGCAAGTTAAACAAATCCTGAGGAATCTGTTTTATTAGCATTTATAGGATTTGCGTGTGTGAGCGGCTGTGTGTGTACAGCCACACTTGGGAGCGGTAGTTACAGGGAAAAAAATCCGGGGGATTCCTCCGGGGACGATCAGCGCTGCTGCTCCTCGAGCTGGGAGCGGTGCTGATGGCGCAGAGTGGAAATGTTCAAATATCTGACGCTGTTTTCTTTCCTGTGGAACTTGGTGGGATTTCTCACAGTTAATACTTCAGCTAAGCACATCAGACTAAAGTTAAGCCCCGCTCTGTGCTCTGCTCCTCAGGCCAAATTTCCTCCCCAACCTCCACCGGGGGGCGGGGGGTGGGAAGCAGGAAAACTCCACCAACACCAAAATCGCTGCGCTGCCAAGTTTTTTTTTGGGACAAGAGTGGCACTTTCAGGGACAATTTCAGGGGATGGCAACCCCTGTCCTGCTGCCTGTCCCTGGAAACCTCGGCTGGAGCGGCCCTGGGAATTCCTTTGGATCCCGGGAGGGGCAGGGGATGGGAAGGGAGCTGTGCCGGGGGTCCCGCCCCCATGCCTGAAAGATGCGGAATTGGCCCAAAAAAAGGTGTTGGACCCTCTCCCTTGGAGGCTCGGGCTTGTCCCCGAGGCCACCCAGACACGGGGCACCCACCCGCGCAAAGGGAGCTGCCAAAAGAGTTAGTTTTGGGGTGGATGGGGGGAAAGAGTTTGTTTTGGGGTGGATGGGGTTCTCACCTCTCGTTTTCCTCTCTGTTTTCCATCTCCAGTTGAAACCCTGGGAAGAAAAAAAAAAAAAAAAAAAAAAAAAAAAAAAAAAAAAAAAGAAAACGTTGGAAATGTTCCTCTGTTACACAGCTCACCTGGAGAAGAAACTCTCTCCCTCTCTTTCCCTTTTGGAGGGTTTTTCCCTCCAAGCAAAGGGAAAATGTTGTTAAATAATAGTGGGGGTTGTGGGCTCCCAGTGTAGGATTCCACGACAAGGTATCCGTGAAAACATTATCTGAATATTTAAGTGATAAATTGTTTTATTTATTCTCCTGATTCATTTTAGTCCCGACGAGGATTTTTTAGGAAAAGGGTGACAGGGAAGTCCCTGCAGCCACCGCGGACTCACAGCGAATCCACCTCGATAGATTTGGGCCACCCTTACAGCACCGTGATTTTCTCTTTTTCTGTCGGGATTCTTTTGAAAACATTCGTAAATCTGCGCTTTCTCCAAACCACCGCAATTTGCTGGAAACACAACACGCTCCCCTCTCGCTTTCCTTTGCCACCCGGTCGTTTGTCTCTATATTTTGTACACAGGACACAGAAATGTCCCACATAAATTCCTTTCAGGGTTAGCGATCGCGGAGCTCGTTGAATCGGACCCGTTAGGACCTGCCTTGATATACAGCTAATTTTCCGCAAAAAATAAATATATCTATATAAAAATAAAATATTTTCCCCCTATATATCTATATATATATATAATTTTTTACCTCTGCTCGTATGTCCAGTTTCGGCGGCGGGCGGAGGTTGCATTGACTTTTGAGAATTTCCCCGAAAAGCTGAAGTTTCTTTTCGACGGCTGGTTGTGGTTTTTTCGGTTTTGGGGGTTTTTTGTTGTTGTTTTTTGTTTTGGGTTTTTTTTTTCCCTAAATTAATTTTCGTTTGTTTTGCTCTGCAAAAAGTCCCAGCCGGAACACGCTTCAGTTAAAATGAAAATAAAAATACAGCAGTGGGTTAAATCTCAGAGAGGGGCACGGGGCTGCTGTTTTCCCCTATTTTGCGGGTAAAAAGGGCAGAGCGGAAGGGAAAAACGAGGCACATCTCTTCCCTCAGCTTTCCTTGACCTCCGAGCCTAAATCCAGCCGAAATCCCACCCATTCCCTGCTTGCCTTCCCTGCAGAAGCCGCTGTCGCCAGGGGACGGGCGCGGTGCCGGTACCTGAGCCAGGAGGGGATGGATTTGGGGCCATTTGGGGCCGTGCGGGGCAGTCCTGGAACCCTGCAGGGCTCCACTCGCCCGCATCCCGGGCTGGAGGTGCCGCATGTCCCCGCTCGCCATCCCGGGGGCTGCGGTGGCCCGGGCAGGGTGAAGAGAGCGGCCTCTCCCTCGGCACGGCCGGGCCGGGCTCTCGCTGCTCTGATGGGATCATTGCAGAGCCCGGGCGAGCTTCAGCAAACTCGCTCGCCCGCCGGCCAGGCCTCTGGCAGGGATTAATGTGAAGGACCGGGGCACTGTGCCTCCCATCCCCCTCGGGATGCGGATCCGCGTCTCCTCTCCTCTCCTCTCCTCTCCTCTCCTCTCCTCTCCTCGCTGGCTCAGGGGACTGGGGCTGTGTCCCCGTGCGGGTGGGACAGGGACACACGCGTGGCTTTTTGTCCCCAAAGAATGCTCAAGGGCTCCCGTCAGGTTAAACCCGGCCGCGCACGGCTCAGTCCTGCCCGGGCTGGGCTTAATTCCCTCACTCGGGACATGACGAGAGACTCAGGCATGGCTTTTGTGACAACGCTCTGCAGAGGTGGCCCCGAGCTCTCCCAGGGAGGGGGCCCGGGGGTCCCGGCATCTTCTTCATTGGCCTCATCCTCCCCCGGGCGCTGCTCCGGCAGCTCCGGGGTTAAGCCCCGGTCAGCGGAGCCCGGCGGGGGCTGATGAGCAGCGGCTGCCGGCGGGGCGGCTCCGCCGGAGCTCGGCCCCCTCCTCGGCGTGTACGAGGGGAATGTGTATATATTAGTGTACAAATGCGTGTATAAATGTGTAAAATGGGTGTTACACAGGCCGTACCAATGAGTGCCGTGTCTATCCGAGCCACGCGTGCCCGTGCGTGTGTCCAGGTACGCTTTACCCAGACCCAGAACAACGCGGGAAGCTCTCGGGTGGTTTCCCGGCAGTGCCGCGGGGCTGGGGAAGGGTCCCACGCGTGTCACAACCCCACACCCCCCGTGTCCCCTCCCCGGAGGGCAGCTGCGCCCCGGCTGGGGCGACAAGGCCCCCTCGGGGTCACCGAGAAGGGCAGCGAGGGGCAAGGGGCTCCGCCGGGAGCGGGCTGGGGTTGCCCCAGGCGGCGGCCCCCGCCCCCGGCTCCCCCCGGGCCGGCCTCCCGTCCCCTCGCAAGTGCTAATTGCGGCTCTGCGCTGGCTCCTCTGGATTTGGGTCCCTCGGAGGGCGCTGCGCGGGAGGACACGTCACGGATACATTATCCCCTCCCCTCTTGAGGCTCTCCTGGCTTTCTGCAGCCTTTGCTAAAGAATTAAGCGAGAGGTCCACTTCAGAGCTCCTTCTGCCCCTGGGAAAAAAAAAAAAAAAAAAAAAAAAAGGGGGGAAAAAAAAAGGAAAAAAAAAAAAAAAAAAAAAAAAAGGGGGGAAAAAAAAAGGAAAAAAAAAAAAAAAAAAAAAAAAAGGGGGGAAAAAAAAAGGAAAAAAAAAAAAAAAAAAAAAAAAAGGGGGGAAAAAAAAAGGAAAAAAAAAAAAAAAAAAAAAAAAAGGGGGGAAAAAAAAAGGAAAAAAAAAAAAAAAAAAAAAAAAAGGGGGGAAAAAAAAAGGAAAAAAAAAAAAAAAAAAAAAAAAAGGGGGGAAAAAAAAAGGAAAAAAAAAAAAAAAAAAAAAAAAAGGGGGGGAAAAAAAAGGGAAAAAAAAAAAAAAAAAAGCTGAGATATCGGTGCTTTCAGACGAGGAGCGTGGCGGCTGTGATTTCCGAGAGGAGGGGAATTTTACCTTCGATCCTTGCCGAATTGCGGGAGGTGAATGTAGCAAACCCTCCCCTTGCCTTTGAAAGGCATGTCTCTGCCAAAGAGCTACCGCTTCGTTCCTCAAATACGTGACAAATAAAAAAGAAACAAAAAAAAAAAATAGAGAGAGGAAAGACTCCTATCTTTCAAATTCTTCTTCTTTAAAAAAGAAAAAAAAAAAAACAACAAAAAACCAACCAAACCAATAAATAAAAGCAACAAAATCAATGCCGCGCCTTTGCCAGCGCTCGGACTTGTTTGGAAAGAGACAACGCTGAAGTGGCACTGATCCCGAGGAAAACGGATCCTTTAATTTGACTCCGCATGAGAAGCGCATTTGGAGCCGGGCGCAGCGGCCGCAGCGGCAGGAGCAGCCCCGCAGCCCCCGCAGCCCCCGCAGCCCCCGCGGGGCTCGGCGGCCCCGCAGCCCCGGCGCTGCCGGAGCCCCTCGGGCACGGGCGGAGCAGCAGCGCCCTTCGGCCCGAGCGGAGCGGAGAGGCGGAGGGGAAGGAGAGCCGCTGATCCCGGAGCACTCCACCATCAGCTGCCGCCGCAGGCACCGGCTTTGACTTTGGTTCAGCGGGGAGCTCGTCGTGTCCTCGGCATCTCGGGCTCCGGGACCAGCTCATTTTGCACTTCGTTCGACGAGCAGCGCGATCGTTCTGTTTCCTTTTTTTTTTTTTTTCTTCTCTTGAGAGACAAAATGTCCAAAAATGGTTCAGCCTGCTTAGCCCAATGATTTCTTGCATGGACGCTCTATTTTCTTTTTTTTTTTTTTTTTTTTTTTGGATGGGGCAGGATCGAGTAGAAGAAATCGTTCGGTGAAGGGAACCCAGCTTCCAGCTGGGTTTGCTCCCCATTAAGGAGAAGATCAAGATCCTATTCCCAGCTGCACGCAGAGGACAGGGGTTGCCGTGGGTCTTTCAGTCTGGCTTTCAAAGCCCTCGCTGCTGCAGGGTCGGAGCAGAACTGCCTTCTCCGAGCGGCTTTCCTGTCCTGCTTGCAGCTCAGAGATCGCCTCCCCCCTCCTCGCACCATTTCTGTTCGTGTTAGTTTTGTTCGGTTGGTTTAGCTTTATTTTTTGCCTCTCCTTTTTTGTCTTTTTTTTTCCCGCCCCTTTCGTTTATTATTATTATTATTATTAATTATTTGATTTGATTTGGGTAAATTGCCTTCCTTAAACGAAAACACTAACTCTGCAGTCGAAATCCATGCCCCCTGCCATTCGGAAGAACCGGGTCTAATATGCCAGTGACATCCGCGCCTTGCAGCAGTCGCGATGAAGGAAAAATCCAAGAACGCGGCAAAGACTAGACGGGAAAAAGAAAATGGAGAATTCTACGAACTGGCCAAACTCCTGCCCCTGCCCTCGGCCATCACCTCGCAGCTGGACAAGGCGTCCATCATCCGCCTCACCACCAGCTACCTGAAAATGCGAGCCGTCTTCCCCGAAGGTAAAAGCAGCCCCGGGGCTCCGGGAGCCCGCACGGAAGGGACGGAGAGAGAGCGGGGAGGGGGTGCTGGGGTGGGCACGACCCCATCAGCGCCCTGGCAGGAGGGAGGGGATGCCTGCAGGGGTCTCAGAACGGGCTGAGCGAACGAGGGGGGATTGAGGGCAAAGTGGGCTGGGAATGAGCCCGTCTGCGGCCGTGGGAGGCAGAGTCGGCCGCTTCATTCCCCCTTTCTCCCCCTCCTCCTCCGCCGCCGCTTCAGCTCCGTTGGCTCGGGGGGACCGTCCCGATGAGAGCGGGCTCGGTTCGTGTGTGCAGCCCCGGCCCGGCTCCCGGGGACGGCCCCTGGGCTCGGCGCTTCCCGTCCGGGCACGGCCTCGGGTTAAAAAACCAACTGTGTGGTTGTTATTATTATTTTGTTTTGGTTGGAGTTCTCTGGAGCCGGGGAAGCAGGCAGGGAATGAAGGCGCGGCCGCTCCGCAGCGAGGCCCTGGGAGAGAGGGGAAGGAAGGGAAGGAGCGTCCGAGCCCAGCCCGGCCCGGACCCCGCTGCTCCCCGGCCGCGGCTGGGCTCCCGTGGCTCTTCTCGGGGGCCACCCAGCAGCGAGGCCCGGCACCAATCCCGCAGGGTTTGGGGAAAATCATCCCCTCGGGAGGCCGGGGCCGGTGGCAGTGCGGAGCCCCGGCCGCCCGGGCAGTCGGTGCGGCCGCGGAGCTGATGCGAGCGGCGGAATGAAGCGCTGGGCAATGCCTGCGGGTGGCTAAATAAAGCCCAGCAGCCCCGCTTTGTCATTTGTTTGTGCCTCTCCGGACTAGGAGCAGGGTGAAGGAATTAGCGAATTCCGCAGGGGAAGGTCTGCTCTCCGGCGCGGTTTCTAAGGAGCTTTATTAAAAGGCTAAAAATAAAAACACAACCAAAAATAAAATAGGGGGAGGGCGGGGGAAAAAGAAAAAAACCCTCCCAACCCGAGCAAAGCTTACCGTCGTGGCCTTTTAATTCAGAAATTTCGGGAGCACGGAGCAGCCGTGCTATTATAGGAAGCCAGGGCTCCTTTAGTGTGCGCTCCCGAGCCAGCGGAGCAAAGGGAGCGAGGCGCTGCTCCGCCGCATTTTCCAGCCATTATTCCCCACCGGGAAATATCCCGATGAGAAATACAGCGTCGTAATTTCGAGGGGGGCTGTGGGGAGGTCACTCGCCGGCCGTGCCTGGCGAACGTGCCCCCGAACGCCTTTGATTTAGGAGGGAGGAAAAGCGGCACGTTTCGAGATGCTGCTGGATGCGTCCCGGCTTTTCCAGCCCTGCTGATCCTCAAGAGCAACGAGCCGACCCCGAGAGAAGGTTTATACCCACAGCTCGGGTGTGTTTTATGTGTCTGTCTTCCCTAAACAGGCCGGGCGTGCGCTTCCGCACACTCTGCTTATTAAGGGCAACGTTTAAATGCATACAGCGAATTCCTGATCTTTCATCGTCTTAAGTACGGCTGGAAATACATTTAAAACCAAAGCTTTGCATTCAGGGATGACAGGCCGGGGGAATTACCTCCTCCGGTCCCCGAGCCCTGCGTTTAGTGCCTGGCAGGGTGCAGGGGAAAGTGGGGAGCCGGGCAGAGGCGGCTTCAGAAGGATTTTTTTTTTTGGGGGGGGGTGGGGGGTTTATTCCATACAGTCCCGCATCACCCAAACTTCCCTCTCCCTCGGGATTTGCCCGTGGAAGGAGGGGAGAATGGTCCCCATCCGTCCGTCCTTCTGTCCGTCCTTCCTCCCCCCTCCTCATACCCGCCTACTGGTTTCCAGTTGGCTTTACTGGGAGGGGAAACAGCCCGGAAAGGCGTCCCAGCTTAAATCCTGGCCCAGCCAGAGCCGGTGGAAGAGCCCCATGGCGAGGGCTGGACCCGATGGGTCCCGGGCCGGGAAATGAAGGTGGGCACGTAGCAGCAGCTCGGGTTGCCCCAGCCGTCACCCACTGAGGCTCCGAGGGGTGACAGGGTGGGGGGGACAGGTCTGAGACGCCACCAGACCGTGCTAGGCCCGGACTAACTGCGGCCAGCACGGCCAGAAAGGCTGTTCAGCTTTCATACCTGTCTTACAGCTCCGTCTAGACTGGAGGGGAAAAAGAGAGAGAGAGGGAGGGAGGGAGAGAGGGTTGTGTTTTTAAACCCTTCGGTGGATGGCTCACCCCCTGATTTCCACACGTAGTTTAGGAAAAGTTTGAGACCCTCAGCGAGGTGACTGATCCCCACAGGGCTTGGGCCAGGTCTCCTGCTCAGCCTGGCCAGGCTTTTCCCGAGGATGGACCGAACCCGCTCAGACTCCAAGGAGCGAGAGCAAAAGGGGATTTTTATCCCGGCTCCTTTCTCCCTCGCAGCCCAAGCCCTGCAAGGGACAAGTTCGAGCTCCGAAATCGCAGATTGTGCCCTGCGGTACCGCTGCGACCTTGAGATTCAGGAGTTAAAGTCAGGACACAGCAGCCTCCAGCCTCCCACTCTCTAACGCCGTCTTCTCTCGTGTTTTGGGTGTTTTTTGTTGTTGTTGCCACAGCCTTGTTGCTGTAGAACAAAAATACACCAGGAGTCGTCTTCTAGCTCTGCTCTCAGAATTTTTTTAAATTTTATTTTTATTTTGAAAAGGAGGTAATGAAAGAAAGAAAGGAGAGAATGAATCGCGTTTAAAAACTGCCCCCCGGTTACGGCAGACTGGCGAAATCGTCACCCTCTCCCTCCCCCATCCCCGACTCAGTGCCCAAAACCGATTATGAAACTGGACATTTATGGTCGTTTAAACCGGATGGGAGCCAGCTAATTAATATGTGATCCAAAATACAATGTGCGCAATACAAAATAACCTGAATAAAGTGACGGAGCGGTAGATCTCAGACCTTCCTTATTCCGAGAGGCAGACAATAGAAATTACTAGGAATATTCACAGTCTTCAGTCCCCATTTAAACCTAGCCACGAATGTGTGTTTTAAGAAATTCAAGGCGAATCGCAGCTAATTCATCTGATTGTCACACGCACTCGGAAAAGGTTCGTTAATGAATTAAACAAATAAATAAAGCGCGAGGCGTGAGTAATCCTTTTTGGAAAGCCAGCCCCTATTGTACTAACCACTAATAGTGACATTAAAGGTCTTACTAAAACAAAAGTGCTTTTTTAAGGCTTTTCCTGGGGCCGTTCCCAGGCGGCGGGAGCCGGTGGCCCCGCGGTGCGGGGACGGGCGGCGGGGTCGGGGCGGGGACGAGCGGCGGGGTCGCTCCGGTCTCTCCCGGCCGGAGGGGAGGGAGGGAGAGGAAGGGCGGGGGTCACTGCCGTGGGTCTGCCCGTGACCTCCCTGTCTGTAGGACTCCCGCTTTGGGGCCTCTTAACACGACCCGGTGGGTTGGGCTCGGCGGGAAGAGCCGGGTTTGCGCGGCTGTCCTGGGGGGCAGATTTGTTAGAGTATTTTTTTCCCCACTTTTTTCTTTTTAATTTTTTTTCTCTGAGTTCACCCTTTTAATTTTTTTTAGATTTTATTTTTATAAAATAAAAGTCTTGATCTTTCCGCCTGTCCTTCCCACCGCCTTCCCGACGCTGAGAGGAGCGGGCGGCTCCGCGCGTCCCTGCCCGGCCCCGCTCCTTCCCAGACCGCCCCTGTCCTGGGGGCTTCCCCCCTCTCAGGGGTTCCCCTGGCCGGGCCCGAGTGTTCCCCGCTGGCTCCGGACCCATCGCGGCCCCGGGATCCGGCGGTGCCGTCGGGGCTGAGATGCCCCGGCCCTGCTGCAGACGGGGCTCGATGTCAGCGCTGCCCTCGCCCCTTCCTCACGGGGTGACAGCAGAGCCTCGGAGCTCGCCTCAACGAAGGGCACAAAGCTCGGTGAAGCTCGGGGATACCCCTCGGGAATGTCCCCGAGGCTCTCCCATCCGAGGGAGGCACAACCGAGCTGGGGAAAACCCAAAAAGCAGAATTGACGGCGAGTCCCCAGGGTTTGTCGTTGTTCCTTGTGAAGGCTGGGGGACCTTGCGCTGGGGGGAACAGCCCAGCAGACACAAAGGAAAGAGTCCAAGTTACAGGGCAACCCGATACTGAACATAATACATGGCTGAGTAATTCTTTTAGCAGAATCCCAAGCTGAAAAGCTACCGGGCTTTCAAATGTGTGTGTGGACGAACTTCTGTATGCCGAGAGCAAAGGTGGGAGCCGTTCCCAAATATTTCTAGATCTTGTTACAGTTCCACTCACCCCGCTGGCTCCCTGGAAACCGGGAAATGTACAAATGGTACAAAGTGAATGCTGAGGTACTTTGAAAAACAGCCAGAGATGTCAAAAGGGAGGGAGGGCGATTTTGTCCGTGTTTGCACGGGGAGCGAGACGCGTTTGTACGAAAATCCCCCAGTTTTTCAACGGCAAAAGCAGCAGAAATTTTGGGGTGTTTGTTTAAAACCCCCTCTGACTCCGGGCCGGAGCTGTCGGAGCCGGAGCTGCCTCCCGGTGCCCGGAGGGGTCCGGCGGGCACAGCTGCGCTTGGGGATCGCCCTGCCAGGCATCCCGGTCCTGCCCTGCCCGCCCGGCCCCGGGCCCGGCGGGACAGACACCGGTCCGAGCACCAGGAAAAGCAGGAGAGAGGCTCATCACGCCCGTGTCTGCTGCGGTGGGGTGTCAGAAAAGCGGAGGTTGAGCCTGGGACTGGGCAGGCACCGTCCCGCAGGGCTGTGCGGGCTCTGCCGCTGAGCCCAGCCCCGGCTCTCCGGGATTCCCGCTGCCGGAATCCCCCCAGCTCGCTGGATCTGGGTGATTCCTGAGCCTCTGGCACGGCAAAGGAGCGGCGCCGGGGCCGGGCCACCCCCATGGGTGATCCCAGCGTTTGCGGAGAGGATGCTCCAGGGAATCCTCTCTCGGGGCCGGGTAATTCCTGCTGCGAGGGGACATCTGGAAATGTCCCCTTCCAAAACGCCCGTGCGGTGACAAAGTAGTGTGGGACACCCGGCAGCATCCCTAGACTGGGATCGCATCCCATCCCAGGCAAGTCCCATCCCGCAGGAGCGGTGCGGGAAAGGCTCGATGTGGATCCGCAGCGATTTTGGCCTCGCTCCAGGCCAGGGAGAGAATTTGCGCGTTATTTCCCGGCCGGGCAGGAGCAGCCAGGCCCAACCTATGGCATCCATACATTTACAGGAACGCGCGTTTGCAAATGTCTCGGAGGAGAAGTTAATGGGCGTTAGTCCTTTATTCGAATGTAAGGTTTTATTCGTTTCGTTTTCACCTTTAAAGCGATCTGCTGGCGGATTAAATGATAAAATCGCCGGCTTTAAAATAAGCTCAGACGAATGCCAGGCTGATCCACCGAACGTGTTTACGTTTGATGCGCGTTCGCGATTGCGACTCCAATTTAAAATTCCAAAGGGAGCAAATCTGAGCAAGTGACATTTTTTTTATTCCGGGCTAGGAGACAACCTCAAAACTCGTGCAGATTTTGGGATGCTGAGAAAGGACAGGACGGAGCGAATTGTCTCGCACGGGGGTCGCAGAGACGCGGCTCCTTCTTGAAGAGTTTCGTGAGAGATCAAGGAATAAATCTGCTCCGACTTTCGGAATGGAAGAGCTCAGGGCAGTTTTTGCACAGCTGTGTGCGACTCTCTTTGTAGGTTTGCAGTCTCATATTTCGAAATTTGTAATTAGTAAATCGAAATAAGGGCAAACCCCGCGGCACAAGGACAGACTCTGGAGTTTGCATTTGTTGCCGTCTCGGGAAAGAAACTGCAGGATGACTCTGCGATTCCCGAACTTTTTCTCCCGAGAAACAAAAAGAAAAGCCTTTTAGCAAAAAGGACATTTTTGCCGTGTCTTTGGAAGTTTAGGAGCCTTTTCCAAACGGAGAATTGGGGAAAGGCGGAGAAAAGAGCGAATTTTCGTTTGGCTCTCCCGAACAAATTTCCCAGCGCTTCTTTCAGCGCAGGGAAGGTGTGCTTCCCTTTCCCACGGGAAAACGCCGGAATTCCCGGAATTTGGAGAGACGGACAGGGGGTGGGGATGCAGACCTCTCTTTTTGGGTGCTGCTGCTGCCTTGGGACGGCGAAAAGGAGGGGTCAAGGTCGGCCCAGGTCCCCGGTGTCCCCTGCCTGGCACGGGAAGCTCCTTAGCGCTTTCCCGGAGGGAGCGGGATAAGGAGACAAGCACCGGGAAGGGAATTAAAACCTGGGGGGAAGCACCGTCTCCAGCGGGAGATCCTACCCATCCTAAGGGATGCCCCAAGAGTGGAGAGAAATCCCCCCATCATTCCCAGACCGGGTTTAAGTGGCCAGAGCACAAACGGATCCGGAATCGCGGAGCTGGAACTCAGGGCAGGAATTTCTGCCAGTTCCCCCTCCCGTTCCGGAGGCACAGCCGGGAGAAAGGAGATTTCTTTGGAAGCCCCTGGGCGGCCAGAGGGGGAAAACGCGAGGTTTCATAGCGGGGCATCCGTGAAACGGACCGGAATTCCAGGCTGGCAGCACCGAATCCCCACCTTTCATCCAGGGTTGCCTGCCAAAAAAACCCTTTTTGGGTTTTGAGGCCTCCCCGAAGCCGAGGGTTGTTGTTTCTCTCCATAAACGAGGCACGAACGGATGCGGTTCCGTCCTTCCTTCCCCTGCACCCGCGGGGGCAGTGACCCCTCTGCCGTGCCCCAGGAGTGCCCAGCCCTCGGCACGGCACGGGGGCGGCCTCGGCTCCTCGGGGAGCTGCTGAAAGGCTCCTTTTTACCCTGGAAAATCAACCAACCAACCAACCAACCAACCAACCCAATCCCACCTTTCATCCAGGGTTTCCTGCCAAAAAAAACCCCTTTTTGGGTTTTGAGGCCTCCCCGAAGCCGAGGGTTGTTGTTTCTCTCCATAAACGAGGCACCGAACGGATGCGGTTCCGTCCTTCCTTCCCCGGCACCCACGGGGGCAGTGACCCCTCTGCCGCCGGGTGCCCCAGGAGTGCCCAGCCCTCGGCACGGCACGGGGGCGGCCTCGGCTCCTCGGGGAGCTGCTGAAAGGCTCCTTTTTACCCTGGAAAATCAACCAACCAACCAACCAACCAACCAACCAACCAACCAACCAACCCAACCAGCGCACAAACCCCAGCCCCGCCGCCCCTCCTCGTCCCAAGGCGGCTCCATCAGGAACTTTCCACTGCCCCGGGCGGGCTCGGGCCGTGGGTCGGGTTTGGGTTCGGGCTGTGGGATCGGGCTGTGGGTCGGGTTTGGGCTCGGGTTTGGGTTCGGGCTGTGGGATCAGGTTTGTGCTCGGGTTTGGGCTCGGGCTGTGGGGTCGGGCTGTGGGGTCAGGCTGTAAGCTCGGGCTGTGGGCTCGGGTTTGGGCTCGGGTTTGAGTTCGGGCTGTGGGTTCGGGTTGTGGGTCGGGTTTGGGTTCGGGCTGTGGGTTCGGGCTGTGGGGTCAGGCTCAAGCTCGGGCTGTGGGCTCGAGTTTGTGTTCGGGCTGAGCGGTCGATGGGGCCGGAGGGCGAAGCTCTGTCGGTCCCGTCCGTGCGCAGGTGAAATCGGGGCACTTTTATCTCCAGTCGAGCTCCGGCCCTCTTTAACCTCCTCCTCATCCTCCTCCTCTTCCTTGGCCACCCCGCTCACAGGGACAAGGACAGGGTCAGGGACAGGGGACGGTGCAAGGACGGGACGGGCCCGCGGGCGGTGGGAGCGGCTGCGGCCGTGTCCCTGGAGGGGCTCTCCCGGGAATTCGGGGAAAGCGCATCCACGGGGATGCTCCGCTCCAGAAAAGAACAATTCCCCCCCAAAGCTCGTGTGGAGAAGGGACTCAGCCTTTGCCACCGCGGGAGGAGAGGGAGCAGGGGCATGGGGGACAGCTCAGGCTCCGCTGCCTGCTCTGACAAAATCCTTGGGGTTTTTTTTTTGTAGGTCTGGGCGACGCCTGGGGACAGCCGAGCAGGATCGGCCCTTTGGATAACGTGGCCATGGAGCTCGGATCCCACTTGCTTCAGGTAGTGTTGTATTGCACTAAACAGCTTCTCATTTTCAGATTTGCAAGGTAGCGCACGCCTTCCTGCGCTGCACGGAAAACCCGAGGTTCAGGGGCTGCCTCTCCTCCTCCTCCTCCTCCTCCTCTCCTCCTCCTCCTCTCACTGGAGCCTGGCTGAAGCCTTCATCTCGTCGGGCTGGGAGAGCAGAAAACCAGAGGCACCAACCACTTCTATTCCAATTATTTCATTATTTTTCGCCTTTGGAATGGGCCGAAGCAAGAGGCGCTCATCCCCTGTGCACGCCCAGCTCAAAAGCTTCCATCAGCCGCCCCAAAAGTGCCGGGATGTCCCCAGGGAGCCCCCGGGGGAGGGGACCGGTGTTCCTCGCTGGTGACTCGGGAGGGGACACCTGGAAGGGGACAACACCTGGATTGGATCTCCCGGGACTTTAACACCTGAAAATCCCGCTGTTCACAATCCCGGTGACCTGCTCTGGAATTCCTCTGAATTTAGAAAGTCGTAGCCGGAGCGAGGGTGCCAGCAGGAGTGATAAAAAAAAAATTTTAAAATTTATTTATTTATTTTTTTTAACACGTGAACCAGACGCAGCGCGGGTTTTCTCCCCCGATTTTAAAGAGCCACTAAACCGGAATCATTTAGCGGGCGGGTTTATTGTGGGAGGTGAATTCCTGCTCACAGAGCTGGGGCTGTTTTCACTCCTTCGCTCTGCCAGGGATAAAAACCCGACAGAAATTCCCTGCCCGGGCTCTGCGGCCGCGGTGCCGCCGCTCCGACCTCTGGAACGACGAGCGCAGTTCTTTATTTGCCTCCACAGAGCATCAGCCGCTCTCCCGCGGGGAAAAATAAGATTTTTGGGAGGCACTGACAACATCCAGGCAATGGCAGAGCTCAAAATGATCTCCCGGGGAGGCATTTCCAGCCTTGGGATTTTATTTCAAGTAGCTGCTGCCCTCTCAGCTGTTTCAGAGTCACGAGTCCACCTGGAAATGCTGAACTGTTGTGTAAAATAATCAGTATGATAATTTAATTTATATATTAAAATACAGAGCCAATTGTATAAATTGTTGCTGTTACTCCTCCTCCTGGCTCTTCCCCGTTTTGTCTGGCATTAATTGAATTTATCACAAATTAAATGCTGACCACCTGTAACTCTCATTTTACAGTTCAGCTGTTTCTGAATGATGAATGCTGAAGGTTTTAATAAAACCACATTTGCTGCAAACCTTTTTTTTTTTTTTTTAAGTGTTTTTAGACTGAGATTTTCCATGTGAATTTTCAGCTTCAATGTGCTTCCCCGTACAGGAAATTTTGGAATGTTCTGCAGCAACAGCAGCATTGACCCAAGTTTATTAATGATACAGGGTAAAGCAATTGCCAAACAACAGTGTTTAAAGCAAAATTGTGGCTAAAACTTCAATAAATTATTTCCCATTATAGTATTTCTACAAAATTTAATTTATGCTTAAAAAAAATGGGAAAGAGTAATCTGGTTTCAATTATATGCTGTAGAATCATCAGTAGGCCAGAGAATAATTTGGAATATTTTCTTATTGGGGTGGCACTAGAGGTGCATGAAGTAGACAGGATTTTATTGCTTCTCTTCCAGTTCAGTGGCTTTAAATGGATTAAAACAGGTGGTTGTTTTACTTATGTACTGTAAAAATTGTTTTTCTCTTCCAAATATATTTTCCAGTGATATTCACATGTGGGAATATTCACTGATATTCAAATGCCACGTGTTGATCAAAGCTTTCTGTGCTGGGTAGGGAGAATGCAGAGTTTTTGCTATCAGCTGCTTCTGAAAAAATGCCTGAAATTGGGCACTGAAAAATCAAGGGCCCCCAAACTGAGAGTTTTTGTATCCAAATCATGGCCAGTTTTGGCTGAGGTTTACCACATTATTTATTTTTTTCTCCTATAAATCATATCTGACTAAATCAAACTTCAGTTTTTACTCACACGGGCAATATTTGCCTCCCAGCCAACATCCTGTCAAGGAGAATTTGTAGGATTGGATCTCAAGTTTGTGTTGGTTGAGGTTTGCAGACTGCAAGGACAAAACTTTATCACACTCAAAGAGGGATATTTGTGCTTATTAATTTTGGATGCTGGCAGAGGATGAGGTTGGTCAGCTTGATTGGGGTTTTTTATGTCAGAAAGTCTCTAAATTGAAGGGAGAGATCATTTATACACAGCTACCCTTGAATTCTTGAGAGATATTTGTGCTTATTAATTTTTGGATGCTGACTTTTTCTGCTTTCTTTTTGGAAGTTCACATTGTTATAGAGCAGAGAGCTCTCTGTTCACTAACACAGTCTTGAAAATGCAGCCAAATTTCAACATTGCTCACGGTGCCATGAAATAAATTGCAAATAGCAGTGAGCTGGGTCTGCCAATTATGCCATAAAAAATGGCTCAGGTAGGGCCTGACTTCCCCCTGAGAACCACAGGGCTCAGGATTTGGGCTAAGCACTAAAAAAAAACCTGAATCAACAGCAAAATATTCCCTGAAATTGCAGCAGCAAAGCTGCATCTGCAGGGAATGAGGTGGATTTCACAATGAGCCTGAGTCTAAGGGAACAAAATCAGATAAAAGTTTCTATTCCTTAAATTCTGCTGTTTGCTGAAGTCAGAAATCATCCTCCAAAATACGTTTTTTCCCCCACTGTAAATGCTTTAAACAGATTTCTTGCTCCTCACCCTGTGCATTTCTTTTTATTTCAGACTTTGGATGGCTTTGTTTTCGTCGTGGCATCCGATGGCAAAATAATGTACATTTCTGAAACAGCATCTGTGCACCTTGGCCTGTCCCAGGTATGTGCTCTGACACCTAAAACAGGAATAAAATACAACTGCTAAATACAAATTTGGACCCTCACACTGCTGCCTTGCTTTTATATAAAGTCTTTTTTTTTTTTTTTCTTTTTTTTTTTTCTTTTCCCCCAGGGTTGTTTGGAGCTTTTTTCTCCTTGAAAAGAGCTTTGGTAAAAGACTCAAATTTCCTTTCCTTGCCACCACATCACCCTGTCTTTATATCTGTTCTTGTTCATTGTATTTTACTCCTCATTACCTTTCAGGAGGGCCATAAATAATATGATATTGCAAATTGCAGCTGGAGGCAGGGCCCGAAAGCCAAGCGTGGTAAGGCAGCAGGGCTGAAATAAAACTCAGAATTGGAGTCTGGGAGCCTTAGATTGTGTCAGATATTGAGGCTGCCTGTGAAAGGCACAGAAATCTGATGTGGAACAGGGGCTTTATGGTAAAAGTGCCGGAGGAAGAGGAAAAAAAAAAAAAGAAAATAAAAATTTTTAAAAAAGGACAAGGGGGGCAGATTTATGAGTGTTCACATGGAATTCAGGGCAGTTTTTCCTGAGTTTTTCCAGCTCAGTGGTCTTTTCAGTAAAGCGTTTTATATGGTTGTGATAGAACTCATAAAACTCAGTTTACTACTGTTCTGCACCAGAACTATGAGGGGGTTTTATGTTTTTTTTTTTTTAATTCTTAGATGGACATTTCTAATTTTTTTTTGGGGGGGATAGGCACAAGGGCAAAGAACCTGAATTTATTGCAGAATTTGACTTTCCATGCCTTTGTTTGTAGCTGAAATTCACTGGTAGCACCTGACCCAAAGTTTGCCAAAGTCCCATGAAAAAAATTCCTCATTAATTTCAGGAGGCCCTGGATGAGATTTGCAAGGAGCTGAAGTGTTCAGTTGTGTATCAAACATTTATAAATAAATAAATGAATTGAAATAAAGCCTAAACAGCAGAGGAGATGAAGCTGAGGGAGAGGCGAATATTCTGAAAAAATCTGGTTAATTTATCCTGTGGCTGTTTCCATAAACAGAGATGAGGGCTTTAATGGTGGGGATTATTTGTGTATCTTAATTTTTTTTGCAGTAATCCATATTTTTAATTGAAAAAAAAGTGGAGTTCTTTGGATGTGTGTTTATGACAGTGATATTAGAATTAGTGGCTAGGAGAGAAAATAGAACTCAAGAGGTAGAGAAAACAAGGATATAAACCCATGAAACCATTTCTAAACCCCTGTTTCTTGAGTATCTTAAAAAAAAAAAAAGTCATTTTGGTAATAAATAGCCACCATAAATACTTTTTTTTTACCTGTTAATTTTAAAAATATGAGCAGGAAACACTCTGAGTTCTGTTTGTTCACTCTGTTACGGTACAGTTTTAGTTGTTTCATACCATTTAATTCATGCTCAAATTCCTTTAAATCTTGTTTTGCTTGAAAATAAACTTCCCTACACAAGGGCCCTATTTTCTACTCATTTTTCAGCCTGGGTTTCTCTCACCCTGAATTTTTAATCCTGAAGGATTCAGGATTTTACCTGCTAAAATCCACCCATTTATTCATTGCCATTATCCCAAAGCTCTGAGCATTCCCCTCCATCCATCCTGGAGCAGGAATTTCGCTGTCCTGTATTTTTTGCTCCCAAAATTTTCCAATTTTTGCCCAGAAATTGTTCTTTTGGAGGAATATCAAGCCACCAGCTCTTCTAGGTCTTGGTATTATTATTATTATTATTATTATTATTATTATTATTATCCCAGTTATTTGGGACAATTAAAGAATTATGGGATCAATGGGACGCTAAACAGACTTTGGTAGGAAGAGGGGACTGGCAGTGTCACTGAAGTTTTAATCCTATTTACCCCTCCTTTTCATCTGAATTCCATGTGCATGGAAATATCTATAAATTCTTAGTGCAGGAGGTGCTGAGGAAAACCAGGAGGTTTGGCCAAGTTGTTTTTTGAAGGCAGTTTAATCAGCAAAATCCCAAACCTTTCCCTTCAGCAGAGGGTTGGAACAACTGAGCTTGAAAGTTGTGGGATTTGAAATTTAAGGGATTCTCAAAACACAAAAATTCACAGTGAACAGGGCTTTATTTACAAAATATATTTATAAATAAAACCTTTAAGTTAATTTTTAATTTATTTTAAATTTATTTATATAATTTCATCCTGACTTATCACCAGTCTGTTCTTGCTCTGCCTCAATATTCTCTTTTTGAAGGGATAATTTTGCTTTAAGCAGCACCAGCACTAATTTTGGGCTGCTCCCACTCCTCAAAACACAAATCCATTTACCCTGGGATATTCCTGTCAGCTCCCAGGGACTCCAAAGGAGTTCTTGTTCCCACTCCTGTGGAAATCCTGGGATTTCTGCCCCTGCCGTCAACCAGAACAGGCTTGGGCAGGAGAAGTCAATTCACCCAGCCATAATTCCACATTTTATTTCCAACAAGTGCCCCCCTCAGAGCCAAAGCAAGCTGAGAGCAGAGTGGTGGTGATTGGAAAAAATCCTTCAGAGTGGGCACAGAAAGGCCTTTTTATTAAATAATTTGACAATTAACTAGCCCACACATCAATTCCCAGCTCGAGTGCCGTTTGTTTAAAAATATATAGTTCCACTAAATAGAAAAGCCATTTAAAAAGATTTTTGCAGACTATTTTTGGAGGCCTGCTGCAGTGGCTTTTATCTTCTGGTTGAATTGAACTTCAGCAGGAAGAAATTAGAGCTTGAGAAAAAGCCAGGCTGGCTAAACCAGTCATAAATTTAAACCCAGCATTAAGGATTGTTTTTAAGCACGGCTTTGCCTCAGAAACAGAGTTTCTGAAAAATCTACATCTTCATTTGTGGCCCTGCCACTTCATTTGTGGCTTTGGAGTTTGATTTGCTCCCAGCTGGAGCAGGAAAATGGTGAATTTTGCTGTAGGACCCCTCCTCCAGCTCATCCCAGCTGGCCCCAGCCCAGGGATGAACTGCCTTGGACTGCTTGGGACAGCCAATTTCTTGCCTTTTTTTTCCATGGATAACAAACAACTTCAAATTCCCCAAATATTTTTTTCCCCTCAAAGTCCAAAGGCACAAAAAAGAAAGGAAAATCCTCTTGGGGAACAATGTGGAAAGAGAAATTTTAATTTAATTTGAAGGTCTGGAGCTTATTCCAGCAGTTTTCTGGATCCATGAGGGAGCCAGGCTTATCTCTGACTTCTGATAAATCTTGAAATATTTAACCACAAATATCTGAACTTTTCCAGAAGCTTATTTTGCTTTTATCCAATGAGTCTATGAGAGAAAAAAATATGTAATCATTTGCTCTAGTATCCATCCACTTAGTCCTGTGTGTTTATTATGAATCATTCCTTGGCTGGGGAAAAAAAAAAATCTGAGTTGCTCATAAACCCCCTGTTAGTAGGAAATGCTGAGATTTGGTATTTACAGCTATTAAAAACTGCATCAAGGAAGCTGCTTTAATAACCTGAGGCATGGGGGTTTAGCTTTATGAATTGAACTGTAGAATTTCTGTATTTTTAAAGTTTTCAAGGTTTCATTGTAGGCTTTGAAAGAGCTGAATGTGCCTAGCAGGGGGTGAGACTCCAGATTATGGACCCATATTTTGGTTATTCGACTCTGCCTTAGCCCCCATCTCTGTGCTGGTGGTTTTATGTTCTAAAGTCAGTTTTGAAAGTCAATTTTGGGGTCAGTTGTTGGAATCTGAAATGCAGGGAACTCTCAGAACTTCGGGCCTGGAAGCCAAAGCTTAGAATGAAACCCAGGATTTGATCTGAGACCTTGGAAAAGGCTCCCAAACTGAGGTGCTGGAAGGGAGAATGTGGATTTGTAGTTTAAAGCAGAGACATGTTGAGCTAAGGAAAGTTTAGAGTTTTAGAGTTTAAGATATAAAAACAAAAGTAGTTCCAGAGGTAAACAAGGAGTTCAGAATGCAGCACAGTAGGTTTGTGTGTCAGAACATGATTGGCTAAGAAAGCTCACACTGTAACATGGGTCCATAAGATGAAATATTTAAGGATTGGGTCAAAAACATAAATATCCTTTGTTTTATTGGTCAATAAATCCTTAAAAAAATCTTGTAACTGAGGGTCTTGGGACCTTCTGAACCATGATGTGAAGATGTGAGCTGAACTCACCCTTCCTGCCTGTGGAGAAGATAAGAAAAAGGAATCACATCACCTAAAAAACTCAGAGTTCCCATCCCTAACTCATTCAAAATTCATCAAAAATCCCCATAGTCAGTGCTGTACCTTTACCTCCTGCTGATTTTCCTGGGCTTGCAAATAAACCCATCAGAATAAAAATCTTTTCAGTGTTTATAACAAGGAAAACCAGTCATTACTGCACAAAGAATTTTAGGCTTGAATTTTAGACGTAAACCCTGAGACAAAAAAATGAAATGTTGGATAAGATTATGACCTTTGACCCTTTGAATCCTGTGGAAAAATGTGCATATCCATGAGGAGTCATTTTAAAATGGGTGATGAGTTTGAGAAAAGCAAGAGCCATCCATGAGTTACAGTTTTTAAGAGAAAACATCAACAGTTGATGGGGTTGGTCAGCTTGATTGGGGTTTTTTATGTCAGAAAGTCTCTAAATTGAAGGGATATTTATAGGGATACATATATATATTACATTTACATATATATATACACACACACACATTAATTAATTAATTTATTTATTTATAGGGAATTTATACACAGCCACCCATGAACTCTCTTTTTTTCTTTTTTTTTTTTTTTTTTTTTTTTTTTTTTTTTTTTTTTTTTTTTAAGGGAAATTGTCTGCTAAAAATTGGCTCTTTCATTCCAAGGGCCAAACATTCAGGAAAAAAAAAAAGTCACTCTTAACCAAAGATAAAATAATGAGAAGAGGGTTGTAAGTGATGCTCCTTGCAATTTTGACATGTTCTGAAAATGAAATGTCCATCACCAGAAAAATTTTTAGATTTCTTTTTTTAAATGCAGGTGATCAGGATATTTATGAAGACATCTATTGACATTTGCAGGAAGTTTGTCCCCTTGTAGTTAGAAATAAACAGAAGAATTTCCAGGCATGACTCACACGGGGATTTTTTCCTTCCTCCCTGACAAAAAATTGGATGTGGGGTGTTCCTGCAGCAAGCCCTCACCTGTTTGTGGCTGAAAAGGAGCAGCCAGTGCATTTCAAGGGCAACTTCTAGAGAAAATTACATAAATGAAGCAATGTAGAAAATCCCCTTTCCCATTCCATCTTTTCTTTTTCTTTTTCTTTTTCTTTTTCTTTTTCTTTTTCTTTTTCTTTCTTTTTCTTTATTTGTCTTCTTCTTTTTCTTTCTTTTCCTTCCTTCCTTCCCCCCTCTCTCTTTTATTCTCTCTCTTTCTCTCTTTCTCTTCTCCATCTCTCCTTTCCTTATTTTTTCCCTCTTTTTTTTTCACTTCTTTTCCTATCTCAGTGAGTTTTCAGTCTGGTTAGAAGGTCAGCTCACTGTTGATGTTTTCGTGTTTGCAGGGAGGGGCTGTTGGAAGGGAGCAGTGGAGCAGTAGATGCTTGGGGGAGGGAAAAAAAAAAAGCGAGTTTGCACAGCCCTGGGAAGGGACATTCCATGAATAATGCAGAAAATGGAAGGATGAAGAACATTTTCAGAAAAAAAAAAAAAAAAAAAAAAAAAAGAGAAAAGATTGCTTTGTTGGGGCAGACAACTTCATTTATTCCAAAGAAAAGGCAACTCCCAGGATCTTAGAGAGGAGCAGGATTGGCTCAAGAATGGCTCCAATTACTGCACCTCTGATCTGGGGGGCCCGAGGCACATCAGGCAGCTCGGAACAATTGACACTCATTTCAAACCCTGCAATGGCAGCAGCCTCCTGTTTTCCTCAACATTTAAATATTTTGCTATTCTTTATTTTGGGGATTTTTACGAATTTTAAGCCAGAAGCAATCGACTGGGATTAATTTCTGTGTCAAAAGCAAATAATTTCACAATTCTTCCTGTTCTTCCCAGATCAATTCCTCATTCTCTGCAGCTTTCTTTGCCTCATCTTACATTGTAAGGAAATTCAGGATAGGATAAAGGAAAATGGTTTTCAATTTGGGTCCGTTTATGGGTGTTTTGTATCAAATTTTGTGTGGCAGAGGAGATTAATCTATAAAAACCTCAAGGCAACAACATCTCCTTTGGATTCCCAGACTTGGAGAAGATAAATAAAAGAATTCTGCTCTGTTTCTAGATAAATTCCTCATTTTCTGCAGCTTTCTTTGACTCATCCTACATTGTAAGGAAATTCAGGATAGGAAAAAGGAAAATTATTTTCAATTTGGGTCTGTTTATGTGTGTTTTGTATCAAATTTTGTGGAAAATAATCCATGTGTTTATAACAGTGATATTAGAATTAGTGGCTATAAGAAAATAGAGCTCAAGAGGTAGAGAAAACAAAGACTTAAACCATAAAAACCACTTCCAAACCCCTGTTCCTCGAATATCTTTAGAAAAAGTCATTTTGGCCCTGCTGGGGGTGGGAAAACACAAAGAGATTGTGTGAGAGCAGGTGAGAGTTTCTGGGAACCTGGAGGAACATAATTTTTATTTTAATATTTGCCTTCCTGAGAGGCATTTCTACAGCTCCGAGTTTTCCTCCCGTTTGTGGCAATTGAACATTTCTACAGCTGCTCTAATTTATCACTTCATTCCCAGCTCTAACAGGAGCTCTTCTGTCTCTGATGCAACACCAGAAATTCCCACAAAAACCTCTCTAACATCAATCACTGCTGAGGAAAGAATTAATTGGGATTAATGGCTGTGATTTGGAAGATGCTTTTGATACAGCCAGCTCATGTTTTAACACTGGAGTGTTTGAGGGCAGAAAATGATCCAGCTGCTTTTATTCCATGTTTTTTCCCAGGTGGAGCTCACTGGAAACAGCATTTATGAGTACATCCACCCCTCAGATCATGATGAGATGACTGCTGTCCTCACTGCCCACCAGCCTCTGCATCCTCACCTCCTGCAAGGTATTTCTGAGATCTGCCATTAAAACACAGTGAAAAAATAATTTAAAAAAAACAAATTCCAGGTTGAAATGTGACAAATTGCAACCCAAAGCATTCCATGAATCCATAAGTTTACATTTACGTCTCTTTTTCTTTTTCTTTTTCTTTTTTTTTCTTTTTCTTTTTCTTTTTCTTTTTCTTTTATTTTTCTTTTCATTTTTCTTTTCATTTTTATCTATCCTGCTCAAAGCTCAATTGGGGGAGCAGCAGGAACTCAAAACTGTGATCCAGGATTTAATGTTCTTACAGGGAGTAAGGTACCCGCAATTAAACAATGCCTTTTATGCCATGGAGCTTTAAAGAGGTTTTTATTTTAGCCCAGTGGTCATTTAATCTCTTTTATTTTATCATCATTGCAGAAGCTGCAGAAATCTTGTGGTGGCCTGGTTGTGCACAGCTCAGCTGCATGGTCTGAGTGGGAAAAAAGAAAAAATCAGCTAATTAGGAAATGGAAGGATATTTTGAATATTTTAAAACAACTGTTAAATTCAAAGCTTGGACAAAAACACCCAGACTTAATATTCTCCACTATAGGCAGAGCAGAAATGGGTTTGGCAAAGGACTTGGGTTTAGAAAATCTCATTTAAAAAGTGACTTTTTAGTGGAAAATCTTGTCCTCTTCTGCTGTCACCCACAGAAATATTGACCCCACCCTTTGTGTGTGAAGTTGTCACCTCAGTGTTGCAATTTCTGTGTCAGAAACAAAAATATTCTCATTTTTTTAGTTTGTGCTTCCTTGGGGGCAATCCTTTGAAGTGGCAAAGACCAGAACCAGTCTGGCTCCACCACAATGGAGCTCCCACTTGCATTTCAGAATTGATTTATCTGGATTTATTGACTTAAGCTGCCACTTTTTGTCAATCTTTTCCAAGCACAGCTTCTAAAAAACATGAGGGTTCTTGCTACAATTTTGTTCAGGATTATTTTTTTTTTTGCAGTTTTGGTGTCCCTCTGTGATTCCATCAGGGCAGAACTGTAAATTCTGAATTCAGGGAATGTTGATGTGCCTCAGAGCACCTGGACTGCTCCAAATGCTGGAAATGCAAGAATTATCTCAGCCTCCTTCCCTTTTTCTCTTTTCTTCCTCCCCAAACAGTTTTTTGGTGGTTTGTTTTTTGTTGTTTTTTTTTTTTAGAAAAAACACTCCCTTGGTGTCTTGGAAAGCAAACTCTTATTTTTCTCAAACTCCTCTTATGTGATTATTTCATACTTTGTTCATTCCTCTGTCCGAATTTTTAATAAATATTGGTATTTTTAAAAGACAGTATTTTTCTCCCTTTTTCCAACTTACTGATAAATGGAGGAGACAGCTCTGTTGTAAATAATTTAAGGGTGATTTTCTTGGTGGGACTGGATAATCTCTAAAGTCTCTTCCAGCCTCAATAATTCCATGAAATCCAGGAGTTTTCATGCAGGTTTGCTGATATCCAGAATTAGTAGTGAGATATTTTAATATCACTGGCTTGGCAATGGCAACAGCCTCCTGTTGTGCTTAAAATTCAAATATTTTTCAATTCATTTTCAGAGATTTTTCCAGTTTTAAAGCCAGGAGCAAGTGACTGGGATTAATTTCTGTGCCCAAAGCAGATGATCCCACAATTCTTCCTGTTCTTCCCAGATCAATTCCTCAGTCTCTGCAGCTTTCTGTGCCTCACCCTACATTGATAAGGAAGTTTAGGGTTGGAATAAGGAAAGTCATTTTCAATTTTGGTCTGTTTATATGTGTTTTGTATGGAATTTTGTGGAAATTACTTGCTAAAAACCTCAAGGCAACAGCATCTCCTTTGGATTCCCAGATTTGGAGGAGGTAAATAAAGGAATTCTGCTCTGTTTAGGGATTATTTTATTTTATCTCAGTTCTGGAGTGGGTGTATAAAAACTTCCAGAATCTACAGCTAAATCTTTCTAAAATGCACAGAATGAACAAATATTTATTTACTGTTCTCTTCCCTGTGCCAGTAATTCCCTTTCCTGCAGTGTTTTATCCATTAAAATCTTGAGGTATAACCTGAAACTACCTGGCCTGCAATAACCAAAGCAAGTTTTTTATTTAATCCAGTGAAGATTTAAAAACTATTGAATAAATGACAGGAATGAAGCAACTTCTGCCTGGATCTGAGTAGATATTTTCAATATTTAAGTAAAACATGGAGTTCTACAAATAACTTAAAGGGCAGTGAAGTGAAAGTGGCTTGATTTAAAAAAAACCAAGAGGAAACCAGACTATTTTAATGGAATTTTTTGTCATTTCAGTTTGATTTTTCTCTCTTTTAATCTTTTAAGACACGCCTGAATCATCAAGTCACTGGGTGGAATAAAAAAATTTCCTTTTATAATTTTATTATCTTATAGATTTATGCAACCCGGGGCGTTGCTTAGGAATAAAAATCAGTATTGAACTGCAGACACAGACTTTTATATCCCAAATTTCCAGCTTGGCTCACGGTTTTTGCCTTGCTCAAGATGTTTTCTTCAGCCAAAGTTCAGATATTTATATCCATTTTTAGTCCAGCAGTTGTAGCTGGGTAAGATCTGTTTTGAGAGGAATAAAATCACAAATATCAACAATATCTGTGCTTTGTGATATTCTGTTAGTGGGATTAAAGAACCCAGAGCACAGATTATTTTTGACCTCTGGTTTTAAAGTTTTTGTAAATTTGGGTGCTGCCTCTTTATTTATTTCTCAGGGAAATGCAAATTAATGCTTTGCATAAATCAGACAGTGTGTGGATTCCTTTACACATCCTCACTGTCACATTGCTTTTCTTCAGGTAAATCACCTTGGTATTAAAAATAAAAACCCCATAATATTTCTAAAGCATAACAATTATTAAATTATTACATTTCAATTTTTTTAAAATTTGCCCTGGGTATCCTCATGTTTCATGTAGAACAAAGCACAGCTTCAAACACAGAGTGCAGCAAATTTGCTTTTTAAGACAGGGGAAATACTTGAGTAATCAGATGATTCCAGAAGTTTGGATTTCATAGCAATAACAAATGTCATAAAATTTGGGAATATGATGAGGGAAGTGCCCAGAGCAGCTGTGGCTGCCCCTGGATCCCTGGCAGTGCCCAAGGCCAGGTTGGACACTGGGGCTGGAGCAGCCTGGCACAGTGGAAGGTGTCCCTGCCATGGCAGGGGTGGGATGAGGAGATTTTTAAGGTCCCTTCCTGTGGAGTTATTTTGGGGTTTTTTTTTGTTTTGGTGTTTTTTTTTTTTTTTTTTTGGGTTTCCATATTACATTTTTACTTTGTTAATATGGTAAAGACTAAATATTCACTTTGAGATCCTCAGATGAAATGATTGTTAGTCTCAGTGCAACCGTCACCACCAAATGGTAGCATTAAAGACTTATTTGGTATGTAAATATTTCAGTCTTTCCAAGGACTTTTTTTTTGTGGGTTTTTTTTGGGGTTTTTTTTTTGTGTTTTTTTTTTTTTTTTTTTTTTTTTTTTTTTTTTTTTTTTTTTTTTTTTTTTTTTTTTTTTTTTTTTTTTGTGGTTGGGGTTAAATGTATGAGATTGTATTTCTTGTTTGGACTTAGATGTTCACTAGTTTTTATTTATATTATAGCTTTACAAACCATGAGTTGTACAGTACTTTAATAAACTAAAAATGGAGCTGTATTTTTTTCTCTACAAGGTCTTTTAGGAATACACAATCTAATTAAGAAATTACACTTAAATTATTTTTACTTTTAACTCAATAACTAATTACCTGTGGTCTGTAATGTGGACTTTATTTAATTACACAATACTACTTAAACTTATGAAGAAGAAGGTGAAGAAGAAGGACTTGTGTCTGCTCTAAAACCTCTATATTCTTTTATACATAATACTATATTTTAAGACTTTAAACTCTAAGTTTTCTACTCTCTGGTATTACACACTTCTATTCAAACTCCACACTCATAATCTTAGTTCTATTATTTATTTTTGGAAGCTTTCTCTATGGCTTTAGGTCAAATGCAGTGTTCTCTTGGGGGTCAGTGCCTGGCAGCACAGAAAGTCTCAAATTCTCGGTGACCAGGGTTCCAATCCATTCCAAGATTCTGGAATTAAGAAGTGACTTAATTACTGTGTGCACAAATTTCCAAAGAAACAAAATACTGGGAACTAAAGTATGGATTTAGATTGAAAAAAAACCAAAAAACAAACCAACAGAATTTCAAGAACCAATATCTGTGCATTGAAACAACAAAAGTTTAAGTCAGAATAATTACACATTTTTAAGTGGGAGTTTGATCATTCACAGGAAAAATATTCTGAGGGAAGCAGTGATTTCTTCCAGTTTTGATGTCTCCAGATCAAGGTTGGGTGTCTTTGTAGAAGACAGAATTTAGGCAAAGAGATGTTATTGAACTCAGCACAGGAGTAAAGCCTTTGATATGGAAATTTAGGACGGGAATAAGGAAAATTATTTCAAATTTTGATCCATTTATGTGTGTTTTGTATGGAATTTTGTGTGGCAGAGGAAATTACCTGCTAAGGACCTCAAAGTAACAGCAGCACCTTTGGATTCCTGGACTTGGAGAAGATATTTATACTTATATTAATATTTATATTACTAGATATTTATATTATTTATATTATTTATATTTATATCTTAATATTTTTATAAATTAATATTTTAATATTTATATTTAATGACCTGAACTGCCCAGGTTACTCCTCTAATTTATTTCTCCAGATTCTAAGTCTCCAGGCCATGGCTTAATGAAAAGCATAAACCCCATGAGCCGTGGAGGCTTTGGAGGATTTCAGCTCGAACTTACAAAGTTTTTAAAAGCTGCTTTTTACTTGCATGACCAGCATAGAAAATGCAAAGCAATGGGTGCAGATCCCTTGCTGTGAGAGAAGCCAACAGCTGAGGGTGTTTTGGGTGTGCAGAAGGAATAATCTCCCTCTCCTACACATTAAAATTGGGAATGGCTCAGCAAATCGCCTCATGTGAGTCC